TGGCACCCTCTACGAGTTGAATTCTATGCTGCACGCCCTTGATTCGGCCAAGTCCCTTAAACACCGCGCGGTGCTTCCACAGTACCTCACGTAGCCTTTCTAGGACGGCTTTCTTCGGGTGGAACTGGGACAATTCTATGTCCAAAATTGTAGTGTCGACGTCTGCGTCGGATATTGCTGCCATCAGTTCCGGGCCGGTTTTGTTCGTCCGCGTCTTCGTCACCTTTCCGCGAATGGGCCTTCCCTCAACCCTTATCTCAGCTCGTGGAGATGACAGATTTAAGACCAAACCATAGCGACGCCAAAACCGACTACCAATCAGAACCTTGCTGGGGAGGTTCTCAGCTACCCTTACGGGTTCGACGAACGTAGTGCCCCAGAGCTTGAATTTGAGCTCTCCGTTGCCGCAGACGGAGATATGGTGCCCGTCTGCTGCCGTCGCCGTCTCCTCGGTCGGCAACCATGTGCCTCCGACTCCCTCATACCAAGGTCGATCAACCCATCATATGGCGAAACTATGCGGCGCGGCATTATAATTTTGGTGTCCCAATTTGAGCCGTGTCACACAGTACGCCAATGAGAAGGGTACAACGCAAGCCATTTTTTATTGTTGTACTGTATTGTTGCCTACTGATTGCAGCATTAAGCCATTTTATTTTTATATTGGTGGCCATGAAGGCAGCTGTTACAGCACAGAGTACCCCCCGCGTTCTGACAAATCCGCCACCATCAAGAGGCGAGCAACAAACAGCCCTTACACCCTGGTTGCTTCCTTCCACTCTGGAGTTCTACGAGCGTTCATTCACGAGGCTGTAATACACCCTGGGTGCTTCCTTCCACGCTCGAGTTCTACGAGCGTTCATTCACGAGGCTGTAATACACCCTGGGTGCTTCCTTCCACGCTCGAGTTCTACAAGCGTTCATTCACGAAACAGCAAGCGCAAGTACTTCGTCTCATCCTACTCATCCACACAAACGTCCCCACTCATTCCGCTTTCGTTGACAACGCCGTAGACACGTTGACCGTTGACAAAGACAAGAGTGCCACGCGCTGAACGCGGCCATCAACCTTCGCATCCCTGTTTTCCGAGCGACCGGGGCCGTTTTCACGCAAAACACACTCGGCACCTCACCAACTTCTCTTTCTTTCTGTTCTGTCCTCGGAGTCTGGCTGTTTAGGAAGAATGCAGGAAAGCTTCCGGCAAGAGACGGGACCAAGCAGAAAACGGCGAAAGATACGGTCTCCCGATGTGTTCATAAGCCATGCTGGCCCGGACAAGCTAAACATCGCACGTCCTCTTTCCCAGAAATTGGAAGATCAGGGTTTTAATTGCTTCCTCGACAAAATCTCGCTAAAGACCGGGGGCCACGGACCGGATGCAATGAAGAAGGCTATGGAGTCTGCTATGGTCGGCGTTTTCATTCTTTCTCCCGAGTTTGCCGCTCGAAAATGGACGATGAGGGAACTGCGTTGCTTCCTAGGTAGAAGGGAAGAAGCAATAAGGAGTGGCAGGCAGCCACCAACACTGATTCCGGTGTTTTACAGACTAAGTATTCGTGAATGCAGAGAGTTGGAGCCCAACCGGTACCGGGATAAGGAAGGAAAGAATATCTTTGAAGTGGAGAAATTTTTTAGCGAGGAACGACAACGCGAGGCGAGCACGGATATGGTGAAGAGGGAGCTAAAAGAGCTGGCAGATATCACTGGGATTGAAAATGACGTAAGGGCAACAAACCTGCCGGGAGATAAATTCGGCCATCTTGCAAGGGAACATCTTGTTGAACAAGTATTTCTGGAGGTGAAAAAGCTAAGTGAGGAGGATTCGAGCGATGTTGTGACAGAAGGCGTACATGGCCCATTCGAGGAAGAGGCGAAGAGGAGCGACGCCAGTGGCGATGCTCGTCATCAAATGCGTACTACATCCGCGGAGGACCCGAAGAAGGATGGCTTCAAGGCTTCGTTTCAAGTGCCAAAGAACCCGGACCATGTCATACTGAAGTTTGGACGCAGTGAAGATGCTGGCAACAGTACGGAACGTATGACGGCTCCGGAAGAACGATTGAGGCGGAGTGTTTTGCGTCCGGGAGACCGTCAAAATGTTGGTGCTGTTGGAGCGCGCCGTGGAGGGGTTGTGGGGACGAAGGGGATGGGAGGCATCGGAAAGTCTTGCGCCCTACGCGGTCTGGCCTCGGATGAAGAGGTTCGCAGCCGGTTTTGCGACGGTATATACTGGCTGGTGCTCGGTCAAGACGCGACAGAACGAGGAGTAATGGAACAGCTGGCCCGCATCACGAGAGAAAGCGGAGGGGAAACGCAAGCGAAGGAGGTGCGTGAAGAAAGCGTGCTAGAATCTGCGGTTTCGAGGGTCACAGAGTGGTTCAAAGGGAAGACAATTTTGTTACTTATCGACGATGTCTGGAGAGAAGGCATGGTCGGGAGAGAAGGCATAGCCGGAAGTAAAGTCATGTCAAGACTGAGAGAAATTGCGGATGTGGAGAACAGCAGCCGTACAGCGTTCACAGCGCGAGAGTGGGGCGTGGTGGAGGGAAGCGAAGAAATCCAATTTTCGACAAAAGAAGATGCTTCTTCTCTGGAAATCTTGCTGAAGTCTGCTGACATACAACGTGAAGAGGTTGAGGGCCTGGGGGATCAAACGGATAGGATACTGAGATTTTGCGGTGGGCTTCCGCTTGCGCTGTCCGTGGTTGGCAGAGCGATTGCGAGACATCGTGAGATTGCGAAAGAACTTTGTCTGAAAAATGTGCTTGATGAGTACTTGGAGTGTCTGGAAGCTACATCGTCAATATTATTGGACGAAAGAGCGGATGGGACGTACCTATACGAGAACCTGTCAATGGCGTTTGAAGTTTCGCTGTGCATGATGGATCGAAAGAAGACCAGAGGAGATGGGCAGTTGATGTCCTACGCCGAGATGTACGAGTCGCTGGTGGTCATTCGGCGGCAAGGATGGTTGCCGTTGAGTGTGCTCTGTTTGTTATGGAGACGGAAAGGAAAAGTTCAGGCATTGAAAGTGCTGCACGAATTCGTGGAGGCCAGTCTAGTGGAACGAAAGGATGGAGTGTCAAGTGGTCGCAAGATCGCCGGAGTCAGGTTGCACGATTTGCAGCTCGATTACGTGCAACAGAGATGTGGGAATGGGGGAGAGAAGAGGTGGCATGAAAAGCTTGTGCAAGAATGGCAATGGAACGAGAGTGAGAACAGGCAAGAAGCGCCGCCGTGGGTTTGCGGGAGAGGGTGGAAGAAGGATATGGTGGAGGACGAGTATTTCCGACACAACTTGTGCCGCCATCTCAAGGGGGCGCAGCTGGGCGAGGATTTGTGGGATGTTTTGAGTGATGCCAGGTGGGTGGCAGAGAAGTTAACTCGGGCAGAGGGGCTAAATCTTCAAGAGGATTTCAAGATTTTGACGGACGTAGCCGGGGAAGACGGAGAACGGTGCGAAGCGGGAGGCAGGCTGTGGTCGTTGCAGAAGATTGCTAGACAGGCGAGGCTGAGTGCGTCCTTTGTTCGTCGAAGTTCGAGAGAGGTATGGTTTCAGCTGTACGATGGTCTGTTGAGATTCAGGAACGAGTCGGAAGTAATTGGAGAGTTCTTACGCAGGATAGAGGAAGTTGCGGAGAAGCCGTGGTTGAAGTCGCTTACACCTGGCTTGAACGTATCAGGCGCGGTGCAACACATATTTCCGGACCAGGGGTGGGTGGTGGGAATGTCGGGATGCGCAGCTAAGAACGAAGTGATCGCTTGGGGGGGTAATGAGAAGCATCTGTTTCGTCGGACATTCCGGGACGGGGAAATGGAAGAAAACGTGTTGTTTGAAGTGGCACGGGGGGCATGGGGGGCATGGCCCGAGAACAGTTCTTGGTCGGAGAACGGAAAGTACGTAGCGGTAGTACAGGGAGATGGAACAAGCGTGCAGGTGTGGGATATGCATACAGGAGCTACAGCAAAGCGAGTCGGACAGGAAGTGGATGTAGGGCACCTGGATGTAGAGAGATACAGTCGCCCTTTTGACTTGACGGGGGATGGAAAGCGAGTAGCGTTTGGGAGAGAAGATGGTGTGGTTGTGTTGTGGGATGTTGAGAGAGGTGTGAAGATCAAGGAGGCAGCGAATATGGGGGGCCATGTTGTTAAGAAAGTATCGCTTTCACCGGGCGGGAAACGGTTGGCGTGCACGGGAGAATGCGGCTCAAACGGGTTAATTTTGATACTGTGTGCAGAGACAGGGGAGATGGTTCGGGTGATTGGCGTGCCGAGTATTCGACCAGCCGATTGGACCAAGTGGTTGATTTCGTGGTCGAAGAATGGAAAGCGGGTCGCGTGCGTGTTCGAGATGACACTTAAAAAAAAAAGATCTGAAGCAAGATTGTGGATCTTTGACGGGGAGACTGGTGGGAGTATCGCGGAAAGCGCGCCTTTGAAACGCGTTCGCTGTCTTTCATGGTCGGAGGACGGGACGCGGTTGTGCTGTGGCGAGTACTGTGGCGACGATCAGGGTGTGGTGTCGGTATGGGACGGACGCTCGGGGAAGAGAATATCGAAATTTGATGATTTTTTGGCAAGGGCAATATCTCTGTCCGGGGATGGGAGATGGTTGGCTGCTTCCCGTGGCGACGGGGAGGTTTCTGTGAGGGACACAGAGACCGGGGCAGAAGTATGGCGGCACATGGCGACACACAGGGCGGCTGTTGTGGTCTTGGGCTGGCTAGAAGATGGAAAGCGGATGTTTTCTGTGGAGGAGAAGTACAATCCCAATATTGTCATTTGGAGGTGGGATAATCTGGAGAGGGTGCAGGAGGAGGAAGAGGAAGTCGACAAGGTCAACAAGGAATGGCGAGAATTCACGGCTGTTGCGTGGTCAAGCGATGACATATGTGCTACTGTGGTTGGAGACGGAGACGTAGTGATGTACGATGTGAAGACGGGGAAGAAGATGTGGGGGGATGCTGAGACACACGCAAGCCCTGTGCATTGTCTGGAGATGTCTGGAGATAGCAAGCGGCTGTTTACGGCAGCAGAAGATGGAACGTTTGCGATGTGGGACAGCAAGACGGGCGACAAGTTGTGGGAATGCGGGGAGGCCTGGGCCAAGGATGGTGGTTACGCTACGCACAAGCAAAAGCATGTTGGTCCAATGATGGGACGAGGGTGTTTGTGTCGTTTGGAAGGGGGATGGGGTTGTGGGACGGGAAGACTGGGAACAAGTTATGGGAGAGAATCACAGACGGCTACATGCACATCGGGTGCATGGCGTGGGCTGGAAACGACACGAAGATCGCGCTTGGCGGTAGCGGTAACGACGGCAGGGTCGTGCTGTTAAGCGCCAGAACGGGAGAGGCGATCAGGGTGGCATGTGGGCATACAGATGGCAGGGTCGTGCTGCGGGGCGCCAAGACAGGAGAGACGATGGGCGATGCCCCCGAACGTGTCCCAGATTCGGTCGGCCTGAAATGGGCTGCGGACCAAGGTCTGCTTGAGTGGTACTCAGACGAATTTGCAGACGAAGTTCACATAGATTGGTTCAACTTTGTGAAGCGGCCCTGGAGAGAAGGTGAAGAAGGTGTGCGGGCTTCGTTCTTTGTTGAGAGGGCTCCGTTCTCTGTTGCGCGGGCTCTGTACCCTCATGCGGTGAAGTGGTCTAGTGGTCTCCAGATGACAAGTGGATCGCGTCAACTCTTGAAATTGATGAAAATGGGAAACCAAGCAGAGTCGGAGTTATGATCTGGAATTGGGAGACAGGTGTAACATATCGGTACCAGCTCTATGAGTATGGTTTACCACGCTATCCGCCGGAATGGTCTGACGACGGGCGACGCGTAGCCTTTGGAATTGGAAGAGAGCTTGCGATATGGGATATTGAGACAGGGGTGATGTTAAGGTATAGCACAAACAGTGAAGATCTAAGGCAGATTGCTTGGTTCCGGGACGGGTCGCGAATGGCGACGGTGGGTGGAGGAACGTTACGAATCCTGTCCGTGACGAGTCAAAGCGCTGTCTGCGAAAAGCAATACGATGATGTTGGGTATCTCAAAGAGAGCGATCTGCGCCAGTTCATCGATACGAATGAGGGCAAACTCACGGCGGCGGATCTAGAGAGGAAACTGGAGAGGAAACTGAGGATTCGGCAAAAGGGAGATGGAGTGTTCTACAAGACAGGAGATGACGAAATCCGCCTAGCAACCGTTGCGGGACGTCGTTGGTACTGTTCTACTTCAGGTCGGCACATTGCGATCCAGGTAGAAGCAAAACTGTACTTTTACGAGCTCTTGCAGTAGTGTGATTGTGAGTGTGTGAATAACCACTGGGCAAAAGCGGATGTCCCGGCGAGGACAGGGGGGGTTGTACCCACGGTATATGTAGTAAGGGATGATGTGCCAGGAGAAATTTGTATGTATTCGATGTTGTTTCTAGTTACCCGACGCCTCGATGCCCCTCTCCGCAAAAAAAGTAGCCGGCACATCTTTTCTATGTGTCGCGCGCAGTTGCGTCAGTGTGCGGGGAATAGTGTCGTCCAACGTAGAGACTGCGCGTAGCGAGACCAGCAAACAAAACTGGAGGCGGAACAGGCACATACGATATCAGTCGTTGTAGTATGAAGTTCAAGATATGCACGGCGGATTTGCGGTGGTTTTCGCTTTGTCAGGTATTAGAAACCTTGACGACGGTGTTAGCGTTGAGGTTGACGGCATGTGTAGCGTCGAAGACGGGCGGTCGTCGGGAGGCTGTGGCTTGTTGGTAGTGGTGGGGGGTGCATGATGGAGCATGAAGAGGTTGTGTGAAATGGAGGTTTTGGGTTGTTTGGACGCAACTGCCCGTGCACGGACACTCTCACATTAATGTGTATTAATGTGTAAGTGTGTTGAGTGTCCCTGTTCCAACCATCTCTTAAGAGATGGTTGGAAACAGGGAGGAAGAAGACAGGGGTACGGGATACCGCCGTGGCTATCCGATCAGCACTTGTTTGTGGTTACACCGTCAAGTAGACCGAGGCCAGGCACTCTTCCTTGTGCTCGGTGGGATGGCCAGAGACGACATTGTTTCCTGCCGCGGCCATTCTTGCTCGCCGGACATTCTCACTCACCGGAGGTACGACAGTCAGAAACACGTTGCAACCTGAATGTGATATATACATGTATAGTGAAGTCCCTTCTGCAATACATTTCACATACTTGTACGTGTACAAAAAATGGCGGGAGAACGAGAGAACGAGTGTGTGTTTTGTTCACCGTCGAGGGCTTGGATGACGTTCCCTTCAGTGAGGATGAGGGTGTCGTCGGCGGAGGCGATCGGGATAGAAAGGGGGGGAAACGAGAGGGCGGCGATGGGAACGGCGGTGCACCGGGAGGGGCGAGTCTAATGGCCATTTCTGAGTTGTGAGTTGCTGCATTTTTCTTTGCTCAAGACCTTGTTTCAATTAAAAAAGCGTTTATATAATTTAATACTGTAGCGCACAAGGGCCGACTCTCAGCACCCGGCGCCTACCGCTACGTGATCAACTTTCCGTGATCAACTTTCCGTGTTGCCAAACCAAAGGCATCAACCCCTCCTCGTCCTTCTCCGGCACCTTGACGCCGTCAATCTTCGTCAAAACAATGTGATGGTCCTGCACATCCTCGGTATGCTCAATCGTGCAACTTGCCGCCACCATGCACTCTTCCTCCACCCGTGTCCTATCCTCCTTCCCCAACGCAGCCCTCGTCACGTACCGCTCGGCAATGTCCTTCTGCCTTGTCGAAAGCGCGAACAGCCTCACGCCCGCCCCGACCCCGCCGAGCCCCGCGTAGAACGCGCTCGAGTGCGCCACATTGAAGCACATCATCCCGCGCGCCGCCGCAGGCACCGTGACGGACGTCGCCGTCATCGCCAGATCCTCCCCGTGGGCCGCGCTGGTTGACACCACCCACATCGCCGACGGCATCTGTCGCAGCAACGTTTTGGTTTGCTTGTCCAGTGGGTAGAACGGCAGCTTGGAGCGCGGTACGTCGAGTGCCACCGCCCGCTTGGCAAGGTACGTGTCTCGGTAAATCGCCTGCACGAATTCCGCCTCGCCTAGGCTCACCGCCGTTACCACCGCCTGTACCACGGCGCACCCGCCCACGACGGAGATGTTCTTCAGCGATAAGTCGGCCGTGACGCCTGTCTTGCGCTCGTCCAGCATCAGTGACGAGGATGATGATGATGACGACGTCGAAGGCCGCGGCGCGAGAAGCTCCACCCTTACCTGGTTGAGGGGGTCTTCCGCGACGAGCGACGCTCTTTTGAAAAACTCGTCATCCGTCACAAATAAGACCACCTGCTCCGGCTGCATGGAGCACCCGCGAAAGTTGTCCAGTTCAATCTCCGCCCCGTCAAACGTGCACCGGTAGTAGTTGGTCACCGTGTGGTGCCCAATGTCACCAACCGCTTGCTGCCGCTCTGCGGCGGAGAGGCCCTTCTCATCGCCGGAGCTCGTGGACGTGGAGTTGGGCTCGCTCCGCAGGGCGGGGCTGAAGATGTTTGCCGAGTAGAGGCTCTTAGCGGGTGCGTCGGGCCACGTGGCCTCGGCGCGGTCCATGATTGTGATAACCACTGACCGACAATCATAGCATCCCCACCGGTAGTGGTTATAAGTTATAACCACTACCGGTTATAACTTATAACTTATAGCCACTACCGGTGGGGATGCTCTCAGAGCATCCCCACCGGTACGCAATCAAATCAAATCATCAAATAACAACACTTGGCACACTTTTTCTGTAATTTGATTGGCTCCCTAGAATTTGGTTGTTTCGTTATTTGGCTGTTTGATGCTTCGGAAAGAACTGCCCCACCGGTGAGAACCAAATGAAGTACATTCCCCTCGTACTCACCATCGCATCCTTGTACTCACACTCGTACTCACCCTCGTATCGCACCCTCAGTCGTAGTCGCACGCTCACTCGAAACCCATCCCGCGACCTTCTCCCTCGCCACTCTGTCTGCACTCCTTCCCTCTCACCTCCACCGTGGACAAAGACAGACTGCCGGCGCTGTCCTCCCTGCTCACGGACAGCACGCGCTCCCCACGCGACCGCGAGCAGCGCGATCCCGGAGAGAACATACGCGCCGGCGGCAGCGGTGCTGCGGCGGATGATTGGCTCGACAGCCGCGAGCGACGTTCTCCTGCGGCTGCTGCTGCTGCTGGGCAGCGAATCGCACTGCGCTAGCACTGTCTGCGCTTGTGAACCTGTCGGAGGACGAGGAGCCGGCGGCCCTGACGCACGCGGACGCGGTGCGGCTCGCAGCGCAGGTGGTCCTGGACGCGGACGTCGTCGCGCTGCACGCGGCGCTGCTGTCCAACCTGACGCGCTTCGCGCCGGGCGTGGACGAAGCGGAGGGCGCGGACGGGTTTCGGGAGAGGGGCACGCTACTCGTGCTCGTGGAGAGGGTACCGAGTATTCCGAATGTGCTGCGGCTGTCGAATGCGTGCGCGAGCCAGGAGGGGAGGGACGTCCTGTTGGTCGAGGGAAGGCAGGCGGAGAGACAGCTGTTGACGAGGTTGCTGAGATTGCTGGAGGCGGGGGAGGCGGAGAAGAGGCTGGCGGGGGCGAGCTGGGTGCGGAACTGCGCGATGGCGGACGAGTGCCATGATGTGTTGGTGGGGGTACGGCGGCGGTCGCAATGTGCTTGGGGAGGTCAAAGGAGGTGGGACGGGAGGAGATGGCGGAGATTCGCGCCTGGTTGGTCGAGGAAGTGTTGTTGTTGTGTAAGAGCCGGGCGGGGAAGGACGCGCTCAGGGATGGCGGGGCCGCCAACGTTCTGGAGGGATGGAAGGGGGGAAGAGCACGCACGCCGTAGTGAGCATTCTGGCGGGAGACACTGGTAATCTCGAGGCAAATACCGCATCGATGCACTTTTTGGTGGGAAGCCGTTTCGGTCGACCAATAGAACGTGCACAACTGGATTGTCAAGGGTAATCAAACAGAGACCATCCGAACCAAATTCTTGATATTTGGTTCCGATTTTTAGATCGACACCAAAAATTTGATGATTTGGTTGCACCGGTGGGGATTTCAATCGACATCAAATCATCAAATTTTGGTTGTTTGGGTATTTGATTCTACCGGTAGGGATGCTCTCACACTATCGTGATTTTACTCTGTATTGTCGGCGACTTGCGTCAAAGGGCAGTTGTCGATGTGATTGGTGATGGCCGAAAGCGATGATGAGATTGGAGTTTATTTTTACCTTATTCCAGACCCAAAGTACTGTAAATTAGTTGATTTGTCGGCAGTGAACTACAGTACAACGCAAGATATTTTTATATTGGTGGCCATGAAGGCCACCTGTTACAGCACAGAGTAAACTTTCTCCCCCGCGTTCTGACAAATCCGCCACCATCAAGAGGCGAGCAACAAACAGCCCTTACACCCTGGTTGCTTCCTTCCACTCTGGAGTTCTACGAGCGTTCATTCACGAGGCTGTAATACACCCTGGGTGCTTCCTTCCACGCTCGAGTTCTACGAGCGTTCATTCACGAAACAGCAAGCGCAAGTACTTCGTCTCATCCTACTCATCCACACAAACGTCCCCACTCATTCCGCTTTCGTTGACAACGCCGTAGACACGTTGACCGTTGACAAAGACAAGAGTGCCACGCGCTGAACGTGGCCATCAACCTTCGCATCCCTGTTTTTCGACCGACCGGCGCCGTTTTCACGCAAACACACTCCGCACCTCATCAACTTCTCTTTTCTTTCTGTCTTGTCCTAGGCGTCTGGCGATTTACTTAAAAATGCAGGAAAGCTACCAGCAAGAGTCTATCGATGTGTTCATAAGCCATGCTGGCCCGGACAAGCTATACATCGCACGTCCTCTTTCCATTAAATTGGAAGATCAGGGTTTTAATTGCTTCCTCGACAAAATCTCGCTAAAGACCGGGGGCCACGGACCGGATGCAATGAAGAAGGCTATGGAGTCTGCTATGGTCGGCGTTTTCATTCTTTCTCCCGAGTTTGCCGCTCGAAAATGGACTATGAGGGAGCTGCGCTGCTTCCTACGCCGACGGAGAGAAGCGATGGCGCGCGGGATGCGGCCACCGACATTGATTCCGGTGTTTTACAGACTAAGTATTCGGGAATGTAGAGAGTTGGAGCCCGACCGGTACCGGGATAAGGAAGGAAAGGATATTTTTGAAGTGGAGAAATTTTTTAGCGAGGAACGACAACGCGAGGCGAGCACGGATATGGTGAAGAGGGAGCTAAAAGAGCTGGCAGATATCACTGGGATTGAAAATGACGTAAGGGCAACAAACCTGCCGGGAGATAAATTCGGCCATCTTGCAAGGGAACATCTTGTTGAACAAGTATTTCTGGAGGTGAAAAAGCTAAGTGAGGAGGATTCGAGCGATGTTGTGACAGAAGGCGTTCATGGCCCATTCGAGGAAGAGGCGAAGAGGAGCGACGTCATTGGCGATGCTCGTCATCAAATGCGTACTACATCCGCGGAGAAGGACCCGAAGAAGGATGGCTTCAAGGCTTCGTTTCAAGTGCCAAAGAACCCGGATCATGTCATACTGAAGTTTGGACGCAGTGAAGATGCTGGCAACAGTACGGAACGTATGACGGCTCCGGAAGAACGATTGAGGCGGAGTGTTTTGCGTCCGGGAGACCGTCAAAATGTTGGTGCTGTTGGAGCGCGCCGTGGAGGGGTTGTGGGGACGAAGGGGATGGGAGGCATCGGAAAGTCTTGCGCCCTACGCGGTCTGGCCTCGGATGAAGAGGTTCGCAGCCGGTTTTGCGACGGTATATACTGGCTGGTGCTCGGTCAAGACGCGACAAAACGAGGAGTAATGGAACAGCTGGCCCGCATCACGAGAGAAAGCGGAGGGGAAACGCAAGCGAAGGCGGTGCGTGAAGAAAGCGTGCTAGAATCTGCGGTTTCGAGGGTCACAGAATGGTTCAAAGGGAAGACAATTTTGTTACTTATCGACGATGTCTGGAGAGAAGGCATGGTCGGGAGAGAAGGCATAGCCGGGAGTAAAGTCATGTCAAGACTGAGAGAAATTGCGGATGTGGAGAACAGCAGCCGTACAGCGTTCACAGCGAGAGAGTGGGGCGTGGTGGAGGGAAGCGAAGAAATCCAATTTTCGACAAAAGAAGATGCTTCCTCTCTGGAAATCTTGCTGAAGTCTGCTGACATACAACGTGAAGAGGTTGAGGGCCTGGGGGATCAAACGGAGAGGATACTGAGATTTTGCGGTGGGCTTCCGCTTGCGCTGTCCGTGGTTGGCAGAGCGATTGCGAGACATCGTGAGATTGCGAAAGAACTTTGTCTGAAAAATGTGCTTGATGAGTACTTGGAGTGTCTGGAAGCTACATCGTCAATACTATTGGACGAAAGAGCGGATGGGACGTACCTATACGAGAACCTGTCAATGGCGTTTGAAGTTTCGCTGTGCATGATAGATCGAAAGAAGACCAGAGGAGATGGGCAGTTGATGTCCTACGCCGAGATGTACGAGTCGCTGGTGGTCATTCGGCGGCAAGGATGGTTGCCGTTGAGTGTGCTCTGTTTGTTATGGAGACGGAAAGGAAAAGCTCAGGCATTGAAAGTGCTGCACGAATTCGTGGAGGCCAGTCTAGTAGAACGAAAGGATGGAGTGTCAAGTGGTCGCAAGATCGCCGGAGTCAGGTTGCACGATTTGCAGCTCGATTACGTGCAACAGAGATGTGGGAATGGGGGAGAGAAGAGGTGGCATGAAAAGCTTGTGCAAGAATGGCAATGGAACGAGAGTGAGAACAGGCAAGAAGCGCCGCCGTGGGTTTGCGGGAGAGGGTGGAAGAAGGATATGGTGGAGGACGAGTATTTCCGACACAACTTGTGCCGCCATCTCAAGGGGGCGCAGCTGGGCGAGGATTTGTGGGATGTTTTGAGTGATGCCAGGTGGGTGGCAGAGAAGTTAACTCGGGCAGAGGGGCTAAATCTTCAAGAGGATTTCAAGATTTTGACGGACGTAGCCGGGGAAGACGGAGAATGGTGCGAAGCGGGAGGCAGGCTGTGGTCGTTGCAGAAGATTGCTAGACAGGCGAGGCTGAGTGCGTCCTTTGTTCGTCGAAGTTCGAGAGAGGTATGGTTTCAGCTGTACGATGGTCTGTTGAGATTCAGGAACGAGTCGGAAGTAATTGGAGAGTTCTTACGCAGGATAGAGAAAGTTGCGGAGAAGCCGTGGTTGAAGTCGCTTACACCTGGCTTGAACGTATCAGGCGCAGTGCAACACATATTTCCGGACCAGGGGAGGGTGGTGGGAATGTCGGGATGCGCAGCTAAGAACGAAGTGATCGCTTGGGGGGGTAATAAGAAGCATCTGTTTCGTCGGACATTCCGGGACGGGGAAATGAAAGAAAACGTGTTGTTTGAAGTGGCATGGGGTGTGAGCAGGTTTTGGTCGGAGAACGGAAAGTACGTAGCGGTAGTACAGGCAGATGGAACAAGCGTGCAGGTGTGGGATATGCATACAGGAGCTACAGCAGAGCGAGTCGGACGGGAAGTGGATGTAGGGCACCTGGGCCGTTGCCCTTTTGACTTGACGGGGGATGGAAAGCGAGTAGCGTTTGGGAGAGAAGATGGTGTGGTTGTGTTGTGGGATGTTGAGAGAGGTGTGAAGATCAAGGAGGCAGCGAATATGGGGGGCCATGTTGTTAAGAAAGTATCGCTTTCACCGGGCGGGAAACGGTTGGCGTGCATGGGAGAATGCGGCTCAAACAGGTCAATTTTGATACTGTGTGCAGAGACAGGGGAGATGGTTCGGGTGATTGGCTTGCCGAGTATTCGACTAGCCGACTACGTTTGGACCAAGTGGTTGATTTCGTGGTCGAACAATGGAAAGCGGGTCGCGTGCGTGGTCGCGATGGACCTTAGAAAAAGATCTGTTGAAGAAACAGTATCTGAAGCAAGATTGTGGATCTTTGACGGGGAAACTGGTAGGAGTATCGCGGAAAGCGCGCCTTTGGAATACGTTCGCTGTCTTTCATGGTCGGAGGACGGGACGCTGTTGTACTGTGGCGAGTCCTGTGGCGGCGGGCAGGGTGTGGTGTCGGTATGGGACGGACGCTCGGGGAAGAGAATATCGGAATTTGATGATTTTTGGGCAGCGGCAATATCTCTGTCCGGGGATGGGAGATGGTTGGCTGCTTCCGGTGACGGCGGGGAGGTTTCTGTGAGGGACACAGAGACCGGGGCAGAAGTACGGCGGCACATCGCGACACGCGGGTCGCCTGTTGTGGTCTTGGGCTGGCTAGAAGATGGAAAGCGGATGTTTTCTGCGGATGAGAATTGCAATATTGTCATTTGGAGGTGGGATAATCTGGAGAGGGTGCAGGAGGAGGAAGAGGAAGTCGACGAGGTCAACAAGGAATGGCGATCATTCACGGCTGTTGCGTGGTCAAGCGATGACATATGTGCTACTGTGGTTGGAGACGGAGACGTAGTGATGTACGATGTGAAGACGGGGAAGAAGATGTGGGGGGATGCTGAGACACACGCAAGCCATGTGCATTGTCTGGAGATGTCTAGAGATAGCAAGCGGGTGTTTACGGCAGCAGTGGATGGAACGTTTGCGATGTGGGACAGCAAGACGGGCGACAAGTTGTGGGAATGCGGGGAAGACCGGGCCAAGGATGGTTACGCACAAGCATGTTGGTCCAATGATGGAACGAGGGTGTTCGTGTCGTTTAGAAGGGGGATGGGGTTGTGGGACGGGAAGACTGGGAACAAGTTATGGGAGAGAATCGGCTACATGCACATCGGGTGCATGGCGTGGGCTGGAAACGACACGAAGATCGCGCTTGGGGGTAGGAGTAACGGGGGCAGGGTCGTGCTGTTGAGCGCCAGAACGGGAGAGGCGATCAGGGTGGCATGTGGGCATACAGATGGCGGGGTCGTGCTGCGGGGCGCCAAAACAGGAGAGACGATGGGCGATGCCCCCGAACGTGTCCCAGATTCGGTCGGCCTGAAATGGGCTGCGGACCGCGGTCTGTTTGAGTGGTATTCAGACGAATTTGCAGACGAAGTTCACATAGATTGGTTCAACTTTGTGAAGCGGCCCTGGAGAGAAGGTGAAGAATGTGTGCTGGCTTCGTTCTCTGTTGAGCGGGCTCCGTTCTCTGTTCGGCGGGCTCCGTTCTCTGTTAGGGCTCTGTTGTTCCCTTATGATGGTCCTTCTCGCTCTTTTGTTTCGGTGAAGTGGTCTCCAGATGACAAGTGGATCGCGTCAACTGGATATGTTGAAATTGATGAAAATGGGAAACCAAGCAGAGTCGGAGTTATGATCTGGAATTGGGAGACAGGTGTAACATATCGGTACCAGTGCCAATATTATGAGTTTATGGTACCACCCCATGCGCTGGAATGGTCTGACGACGGGCGACGCGTAGCCTTTGGAATTGGAAGAGAGCTTGCGATATGGGATATTGAGACAGGGGTGATGTTAAGGTATAGCACAAACTATAATGAACGTCTAAGGCAGATTGCTTGGTTCCGGGACGGGTCGCGAATGGCGACGTTGCGTGGAAGAACGTTACTAATCCTGTCCGTGACGAGTCAAAGCGTTGTCTGCGAAAAGCAATACGATGGTGTTGAGTATCTCGAAGAGAGCGATCTGCGCCAGTTCATCGATACGAATGAGGGCAAACTCACGGCGGCGGATCTAGGGAGGAAACTGGAGAGGAAACTGAGGATTCGGCAAAAGGGAGATGGAGTGTTCTACAAGACAGGAGATGACGAAATCCGCCTAGCAACCGTTGCGGGACGTCGTTGGTACTGTTCTACTTCAGGTCGGCACATTGCGATCCAGGTAGAAGCAAAACTGTACTTTTACGAGCTCGTGCAGTAGTGTGATTGTGGGTGTGTGAATAACCACTAGGCAAAAGGGGATGTCCCGGCCAGGACAGGACAGGAGGGGTTGTACCCACGGTATATGTAGTAAGGGATGATGTGCCAGGAGAAATTTGTATGTATTTGAAGTTGTTTCTAGTTACCCGACGCCTCGATGCCCCTCTCCGCAAAAAAGTAGCCGGTACATCTTTTCTATGCGTCGCGCGCAGTTGCGTCAGTGTGCGGGGAATAGTGTTGTCCGTAGAGACTGCGCGTAGCGAGACCAGCAAACAAAACTGGAGGCGGAACAGGCACATGCGATATCAGTCGTTGTAGTATGAAGTTCAAGATATGCACGGCGGATTTGCGGTGGTTTTCGCTTTGTCAGGTATTAGAAACCTTGACGACGGTGTTGACGACGGTGTTAGCGTTGAGGTCGACGGCATGTGTAGCGTCGAAGACGGGCGGTGGTCGGGAGGCTGTGGCTTGTTGTGGCTTGTTGGTAGTGGTGGGGGGAGCATGATGGAGCATGAAGAGGTTGTGTGAAATGGAGGTTTTGGGTTGTTTGGACACGTGCACGGACACTCACACATTAATGTGTATTAATGTGTAAGTGTGTTGAGTGTCCCTGTTCCAACCATCTCTTAAGAGATGGTTAGAGATGGTTGGAAACAGGGAGGAAGAAGACAGGGGTACGGGATACCGCCGTGGCTATCCGATCAGCACTTGTTTGTGGTTACACCGTCAAGTAGACCGAGGCCAGGCACTCTTCCTTGTGCTCGGTGGGATGGCCAGAGACGACATTGTTTCCTGCCGCGGCCATTCTTGCTCGCCGGACATTCTCACTCACCGGAGGTACGACAGTCAGAAACACGTTGCAACCTGAATGTGATATATACATGTATAGTGAAGTCCCTTCTGCAATACATTTCACATACTTGTATGTGTACAAAAAATGGCGGGAGAACGAGTGTGTGTTTTGTTCACCGTCGAGGGCTTGGATGACGTTCCCTTCAGTGAGGATGAGGGTGTCGTCGGCGGAGGCGATCGGGATAGAAAGGGGGGGAAACGAGAGGGCGGCGATGGGAACGGCGGTGCACCGGGAGGGGCGAGTCTAATGGCCATTTCTGAGTTGTGAGTTGCTGCATTTTTCTTTGCTCAAGACCTTGTTTCAATTAAAAAAGCGTTTATATAATTTAATACTGTAGCGCACAAGGGCCGACTCTCAGCACCCGGCGCCTACCGCTACGTGATCAACTTTCCGTGATCAACTTTCCGTGTTGCCAAACCAAAGGCATCAACCCCTCCTCGTCCTTCTCCGGCACCTTGACGCCGTCAATCTTCGTCAAAACAATGTGATGGTCCTGCACATCCTCGGTATGCTCAATCGTGCAACTTGCCGCCACCATGCACTCTTCCTCCACCCGTGTCCTATCCTCCTTCCCCAACGCAGCCCTCGTCACGTACCGCTCGGCAATGTCCTTCTGCCTTGTCGAAAGCGCGAACAGCCTCACGCCCGCCCCGACCCCGCCGAGCCCCGCGTAGAACGCGCTCGAGTGCCCCACATTGAAGCATATCATCCCGCGCGCCGCCGCAGGCACCGTGACGGACGTCGCCGTCATCGCCAGATCCTCCCCGTGGGCCGCGCTGGTTGACACCACCCACATCGCCGACGGCATCTGTCGCAGCAACGTTTTGGTTTGCTTGTCCAGTGGGTAGAACGGCAGCTTGGAGCGCGGTACGTCGAGTGCCACCGCCCGCTTGGCAAGGTACGTGTCTCGGTAAATCGCCTGCACGAATTCCGCCTCGCCTAGGCTCACCGCCGTTACCACCGCCTGTACCACGGCGCACCCGCCCACGACGGAGATGTTCTTCAGCGATAAGTCGGCCGTGACGCCTGTCTTGCGCTCGTCCAGCATCAGTGACGAGGATGATGATGACGACGACGTCGAAGGCCGCGGCGCGAGAAGCTCCACTCTTACCTGGTTGAGGGGCTCTTCCGCGACGAGCGACGCCCTTTTGAAAAACTCGTCATCCGTCACAAATAAGACCACCTGCTCCGGCTGCATGGAGCACCCGCGAAAGTTGTCCAGTTCAATCTCCGCCCCGTCAAACGTGCACCGGTAGTAGTTGGTCACTGTGTGGTGCCCAATATCACCAACCGCTTGCTGCCGCTCTGCGGCGGAGAGGCCCTTCTCATCGCCGGAGCTCGTGGACGTGGAGTTGGGCTCGCTCCGCAGGGCGGGGCTGAAGATGTTTGCCGAGTAGAGGCTCTTAGCGGGTGCGTCGGGCCACGTGGCCTCGGCGCGGTCCATGATTGTGATAACCACTGACCGACAATCATAGCATCCCCACCGGTAGTGGTTATAAGTTATAACCACTACCGGTTATAACTTATAACTTATAGCCACTACCGGTGGGGATGCTCTCAGAGCATCCCCACCGGTACGCAATCAAATCAAATCATCAAATAACAACACTTGGCACACTTTTTCTGTAATTTGATTGGCTCCCTAGAATTTGGTTGTTTCGTTATTTGGCTGTTTGATGCTTCGGAAAGAAGTGCCCCACCGGTGAGAACCAAATGAAGTACATTCCCCTCGTACTCACCATCGCATCCTTGTACTCACACTCGTACTCACCCTCGTATCGCACCCTCAGTCGTAGTCGCACGCTCACTCGAAACCCATCCCGCGACCTTCTCCCTCGCCACTCTGTCTGCACTCCTTCCCTCTCACCTCCACCGTGGACAAAGACAGACTGCCGGCGCTGTCCTCCCTGCTCACGGACAGCACGCGCTCCCCACGCGACCGCGAGCAGCGCGATCCCGGAGAGAACATACGCGCCGGCGGCAGCGGTGCTGCGGCGGATGATTGGCTCGACAGCCGCGAGCGACGTTCTCCTGCGGCGGCTGCTGCTGCTGAGCAGCGAATCGCACTGCGCTAGCACTGTCTGCGCTTGTGAACCTGTCGGAGGACGAGGCGGCGGCGGCCCTGACGCACGCGGACGCGGTGCGGCTCGCAGCGCAGGTGGTCCTGGACGCGGACGTCGTCGCGCTGCACGCGGCGCTGCTGTCCAACCTGACGCGCTTCGCGCCGGGCGTGGACGAAGCGGAGGGCGCGGACGGGTTTCGGGAGAGGGGCACGCTACTCGTGCTCGTGGAGAGGGTACCGACCGAGTATTCCGAATGTGCTGCGGCTGTCGAATGCGTGCGCGAGCCAGGAGGGGAGGGACGTCCTGTTGGTCGAGGGAAGGCAGGCGGAGAGACAGCTGTTGACGAGGTTGCTGAGATTGCTGGAGGCGGGGGAGGCAGAGAAGAGGCTGGCGGGGGCGAGCTGGGTGCGGAACTGCGCGATGGCGGACGAGTGCCATGATGTGTTGGTGGGGGTACGGCGGCGGTGGCAATGTGCTTGGGGAGGTCAAAGGAGGTGGGACGGGAGGAGATGGCGGAGATTCGCGCCTGGTTGGTCGAGGAAGTGTTGTTGTTGTGTAAGAGCCGGGCGGGGAAGGACGCGCTCAGGGATGGCGGGGCCGTCGACGTTCTGGAGGGATGGAAGGGGGAAGAGCATCAGGGAGGAAGTGTTGTTGTTGTGTAAGAGCCGGGCGGGGAAGGACGCGCTCAGGGATGGCGGGGCCGTCGACGTTCTGGAGGGATGGAAGGGGGAAGAGCATGCACGCCGTAGTGAGCATTCTGGATCGGCGGGAGACACTGGTAATCTCGAGGCAAATACCGCATCGATGCACTTTTGGTGGGAAGCCGTTTCGGTCGACCAATAGAACGTGCACAACTGGATTGTCAAGGGTAATCAAACAGAGACCATCCGAACCAAATTCTTGATATTTGGTTCCGATTTTTAGATCGACACCAAAAATTTGATGATTTGGTTGCACCGGTGGGGATTTCAATCGACATCAAATCATCAAATTTTGGTTGTTGGGGTATTTAATTCTACCGGTGGGGATGCTCTCACTCTATCGTGATTTTACTCTGTATTGTCGGCGACTTGCGTCAAAGGGCAGTTGTCGATGTGATTGGTGATGGCCGAAAGCGATGATGAGATTGGAGTTTATTTTTACCTTATTCCAGACCCAAAGTACTGTAAATTAGTTGATTTGTCGGCAGTGAACTACAGTACAACGCAAGATATTTTTATATTGGTGGCCATGAAGGCGGGTCTTAGCTCTGTTGTAAATAAAGATGTAAGGTATATGATAAGGTACACATTAAGTTAAACAAACGGCATACACCGATGCTGTAAGTAAAGAGACGTTAAATTAAAACAAAGGACAAATTACAGTTACAACGCTGCTTACAGTAAATGTTTACTCGGTAAAATTCCTGAGTAAACATTTACTCGCAAGCAGATTAACATTTACTCGGTGTCGAGTTGATGGTTGCGTGTAAATGTTTACTCCTTAACATTCCTGGGTAAACATTTACCCGGTGTCGAGTTGATGGTTGCGAGTAAATGTTCACTCCTTAACATTCCCCGGTAAACATTTACCCGCAACCAGGTTAACCTTTACTGTATGGCCTTTAATGGCTTACGAGACATGTCATACAGTCATTATAAACTGAGTGACATGTGATTGTTTATTCGACGATATGATATCGAGTATAGGTTTACTGTTCCTCGCTTTGCTTGACAGTTAACGTTTACTTACGGATAAAAGCGCGCGAAACCGGAACAATCCTCTCGTATTGCTGCGAACAGTTCGATTTTTAGGTTCCATATAAAAAGGGACCCGACGTTTTTTATATCGAGCGCCGACCATCATTCTCACGGACGTCACTCTTTTGTTTTCTTGCGCGTTCGTTTTTTCGAAACCGTCACTCTTTTGTTTTCTTGCGCTTCGGTTTTTTCACACTTGACCGCTTGCTGTTGTCAAGAACGGGTGTGGTATGTGTCGCTCTGTGTTTCGTTTTCTAGACAGACAAATCGGGGATCTGACATTTCAACTGATTTTTTAGCCTCCGAGTTGTGTCTGACCGACATGTGCAGACAGGAAAAATAGCGCGATCTGCGTCCGTCGAGGCCGAGAGGACAGAGTCGACCCCTCACGGGGTCGATCGCCAGGTGAGAAATCTGACCTTGGCGGGGCTATAGCCACAGCGGGTGAGCCCGCTGGGGCCTTCGATACGCTTCAAGAAAGGGAGCCCTCGGCAGAAAAAGAAAGCCTCGAGGCGTGGAGCCAACTCAGTGTCCCCACTTCCATAACCCCTTTTTCGCTACACGTCCAGTCTCAGTTCTAAAGCCCGCAAGTTGCTACAGGGCGCAGTATGAGTCTGTCGAGGCTGTGGGGCTATCCCGCTGTCAAGCACCAAACGAAGGATGACAGGCCCTCTCCGAGTTTCGCTTCCCCAGTGAAACGAAACGCCGCCGCCCTTGCATGTAAAGGCCTCCATGCTGTCGTTTCTATTAAGTGGAAGTAAGCAATGATATCTTAAACGAAAAAATAGCGTGAACTTTATTTGGAATGCAAGATCATATATCCTCTTTCCTACGCTTTTGAATGCATGGACTATGCGCTGCGACGCGTTTGGGGAAAGCAGTTCCAAAGATTTCGAACCTACGCTCATGAATGCGGAATCCTATTTCTAGCATGCGGCATAGTAGTAAAATGGTTCTGCTCGCTGTGCGAAAACCATGTGCAAATCGAGCTGTCGGTATGGCATGCTCATATTGAGGTTAGCGCCCCGAACAATTGGCTGCCAAACACACAAGTTGATACTGTCCTTGCATCACGTGCAGGGCCTTTCTGGGGGCGCAGCAGGATCTGAAATGTTCACATGTAGCGTGTGTTTATGTTGCGTTTGGCAACCTGAAAAGGGGGGTGCAAATCTCATAATGAGTTTCGAGTACCAAAAAAAGGGGCTCGAAACTCATTTTGAGTTTCGAGTACCAAAAAAAAGGGGCTTAAAACTCATAATGAGTTTCGAGTACCAAAAAAAAGGGACTCGAAACTCATGAGTTTCGAACCCCCGAAAAAAGGGACTCAAAACTCAAAATGAGAATGGCCTCGAATCATGCGCAGGGGCGCTTCAGGGGCGGGGCAGGTACTGTACTGTTCACATGCACAGTATTCTCATTTTGAGTTTCGAGTACCAAAAAAGGGGTTCGAAACTCATTTTGAGTTTCGAGTACCAAAAAAAAGGGACTCGAAACTCAAAATGAGTTTCGAACCTGCAGAAAAAGGGATTCGAAATTGAGGTTGAGGTTTAGACCTACAGTAATTGGTACAGTATGAGTATCTGTACCAGCATCTCTTTGTCCGTTTTCTATTTTAGTCTCACTTGTAGTTTTTTTGAACTCTTTCTACTTCGTCAAACCTATGAGAAGCTTATCTGCCGTGCTGTAGTCAGTTGCGCCCTTTCAAAAAGAGTTGAAATTTTCTTTGCCAATGACGGGTGATGGATTTCTCGACAAACGTCGAACCATGCAATGGACGTTGAGAGTGATTCATCGTTCTGGCAGTGATGTACGGGTACCCGGACTGTACAGCGTACGATAAAAAGAGTTCTATCCGTTCCGGTTCCATCCAAAGTGATCAGCATAATGACCGGGCCACCCACGGGCAACCCACTAAAATGGGGGTCCGCTAAAACGGGACTAAAATCATGATGTACTGTATCTATAAAAAATACGTAACAAGGATATTAAATGTCATGGATGCAGCACTTCGCGAGAGAAGCGGCCCTGGGCTTCGTATGAGACACCGGTTACGCACCCACGTACCTACGGTACCTCGCTTACTCGTGCTGGATCTTCCAGCCTTCAACTTCTTTTGCATTTCTGACTGAATGGATAGAGAATCAAAAGCCTGCAGGTTTCTGGGAGTACAAAAACGTCGCTTCGCTTTATAGGAGGTCTCACGCGTCTAGAGATGAACGCCGTTGATAGGCATGTAGAAAAATCGG